TTCAATTATGCATTACATTTTAAAAGATCAGTATAAGCACAATACTAAATCAAGAGGAGAAATATACATATCACAAAATTGACCTTGAATTTGTGTCAATAAATCAAAAACAATACCCATACCATAATTCCCCTTTTTACCATTAAAAGAGATTGGCTGTGATCACTAGCCAAGTATAAACAATCCCATTTAAATGAAAACAAAGGTTTATAAACAAGATGGGAATTATGATGTCGCTCATTCCAAACTGCTTCGTGCTGGAAGGGGGCGCTGTTCATACCATGGGGATCATGACAAAACTCAGAAACCTGTATAAGTCCGTATTTTCGGTGTCTGTAAAACTGCATCATCTTAGCTGTTTCGATTGTTGGAACACCTGGTCCACTGCTTCCGGGGGTCTTGGTTCGTCGAACCACAGAAGCCTTGAAGGAATCCTCAGCTTTTCATTTTCTGTGGAAACATAAATAAAATCTCCTTTCCCAAATAACATATCCTTATACTTAAATTTTGAAGTCAAGGCATTTTTAAAAGATAGAAGTTGGATTAATTTAGCAGCATTCATAATCAAGTGTACTTTAGTAGCTGTGGCTTCCTGAGCAATAAAAAAAACTGAAAAACATAATAGCGTACAGTATCCAGACTCTCTATGTATATTCCATCTTTACGTGGCTTATTTATTTATCTATTATTACTTTATTTATTTTACTTTTATTTTTCTTTGAGACAGGGTTTCTCTTTGGAAATCTGCCTGCCTCTGCCTTTGAAGTAAATCCTACCGGCGTGTGCCACCACAAAGCCGGGCTTTTTTATTTACCACTTTGCTGTTTCATTTTTTCTCTCAATCTCACGTATATTTTTAAACACACTGTAAACTTTTAAAGGTTTTGTTCATCCAAGTCTGACTTTACTGTAAATCTTTATGTTTTTCTGGCCACGTGTCTTATCTGTTAAAACCGCGGCTGTTTTAAACTGCCGGTTTTTCGTCAAGATGGCGGGCGTAAGCGTGACTCCAGCTTACCGCCTCAGTCCATGGTGACATCCAGCAAAAGCTGCCATTTCCAGCTGTTCATACACACCTTTCAATCATTAGCAGAGTCTCTTAAAACAACCTTGTTGGCTGTTTTTTTTTTTTTTTTTAATGCCGAGTCAGGAAGACTCCGGTAAGCGCGCCATGAGAATCTCAGCTCGTCGCTAGCAAAACAGAGCACACCTGAGAAAAATGCTGCTACCAAAAATCTGTGCTTCTCTCTGTTCTTCTGTTTCTAAAATTCCTTTAAAGCTTTTGTTATTTTGTGTGGAAATTCATGATCCCACTCCTCATCACCATTTTGTTAAAAGAAGCTTTTCCTTGTGAGAAACCGTTCTGCCCGCCTGGTTCTAGAGCTGCATCAGTCCCAAATAAACACACAGGAGGCTGTATTAATTATGAAGCTGTTGGCCTTGCTTGTTTCTTACTGGCTAGCTCTGACTTAAGTAATTACCCCATAATTGTTAATCTAAGTATTTCTCTTACCGGAGAATGGTTTCGGGCTTCCTACCCCCATGGCATTACATCTTGACTCTCTTGTGTTTCTCCTTCCCAGAGTTCTCCTGGACTCCTAGTCCCTCCTATCTTGGTTCCCTATAGGCTCAACAGTACTTTATTGACAAATGCACAGGACTTTCCCCAACATATCTCTATCATGATTTCCTTATTATAACTTGGATGGACCTACCCAGTCACTAAAAGTGGGCATGTATTTTGACTGAGAATTTCAGATTTTCTTCTCCTGACAGAAGCAGAGATGAGGCCAGAGATCAGCATGCTCAGACCTTTGTCTTGCTTTAAAGACATAATAGAGCTGAGGACATTGGGTTAGAATGTTGAGAGTATTGAACGTCCTATTGTAATTAGAGGATTTTGTCAAAGTATAGAGACATCAGGATGAGGAGACTCCCATCATCAACTTACTGACTATGAACACCTTGGTGAGGCTGCAGGAAATGGACTGTTTTCTATGACTGGGCTTCTATGTAAGCAAGGATGTTGTCTCTGTCTAAATATGGCAAATTTTTATGGGCTGACTTCCACATCATCTGGTGTCGTGTTATAAATTCACCATCACTTTGTATATCACACTATCTTAATCTCTAGGTTCGTTACTTCTGTGTCTCTTTTTCCCTACACTGCAGGCCTTATCATGCTCAGTGTCATTTCTTCTGAGACTTCCCTGTTTGTCTTTCTCCTATCTGGGATGACTAATTCTATCTAAAACATCAGTCAGGTAGCATTTACCCTGCTCTGGATTATATATCTAGTGCTTAGCATCCTGTAAGAGACTGATATGGCTGGATACATAAAATAGTTGGTTATGAATTACATCTGTCAAATTATTTCATTACAGACCTTTGGATGACTATTTTATTGTAAGTTCTCTGGACTTTGCCCACCTTTGCTTCTCAGGACCTTTGAAGTACCAGGCAGATATGCATGATAAGGCTATATGTGGCTCTTATGCTCAGGGTGCTGTTCCTCCTCATCTATAAACTGTTCTCATGCATCTTTTGTTCCCTACTCTTCTAGGTTCAGACTGACTTGGGCATGTTCTTTGGTTTTTCTTCATGCCCATTGATGCTATTTTTTTTCTCAGCAGATGTGACAACAGTATCAGCTATTTCTGCCTTGACTCTTAATTCTATGTCACAACCTCATCTGTGATAGAACTTCTAGTTGATTACCTAGAGGCCTTTGTAGAACACTGTTCTAGAGGGTGACTGTGGATCTGGTCTTCTTAAGGAACACTGAGGAGGTAGAAAAGCAGTAGAACAGTGATAAATGCTTTGCTTTGGGTAAACATGTGCTTTGAGAGATGTTGCTCTTATCCATTTGGAAGGTTTCCTTTACTTTTCTTCTCCTTGGCCCCTGATCTCATAATAGTTAAGATAACAAACATCTTCTCGAGAATTAAGCATGACAGGGCCTATTAATCAAAAGTGATTTCAGTGTCCCTAGAATCACCTTATCCTTGTATGAGTATCAAAAACTCTTGGGCCTTGAGTTGTCCCCATTCTCCTACCTACAAAATATTGGAAGCAATACACAAATTTCCAGTTTCTTTAGATCACAGCACCTACTACACATAGAATGGCCATCCTGTTTCTAATGAGTTTCTTTTCATCTATTCCAATATCTGTCTCATGAAAATTATAGATTTTATTTCTGTCTCCACAAAATATAGTCTTCTTGATTATCAGCAGGCATTGCACTACACTTCCAGTCAACAAATATTAGGTGAATAAGTGAACTTGGTGATTTAAAAAGCACTGATGCATTTTTCATAACTGAAATGTGTTTGATAGGTGCTCAGAACTGTCAATTCATTCAACACCAAAAAAATCTAAAAGGTCATACACTATGATTCTTGTCAAGTTACTTCAAGAAATTTTCACCTTCACATTTGGAGGCAGATTTTCCTTAAGTGCCATTACTTTCAAGTACTGACAAGATTTTACATATGTGCCACCAATTCACAGTTTTAGATCATATATAACATATTCTCACATTTTATTTCATATCCCTTTAACAAAAATCAGGAAAAAGTGATATCATAACCAATGGCATTATAAAGTTCACATAGTTTTGACAGAGCAAAGATCAAGCAGCAGCTGTACTTAGGAAACAAATCTACTAAAACATCACATGGGGATAGCAATAATCTACAGTATTATAGACATAGTAAATGCAGTACATGAATTGAAGTTGACACTTAGTATGCATTGAATTGTTGAATGAGAACTTAATTTCTTTACCCTATGGAATGTCAAATCCTACTGTAATTCATATCCTACTACTTCCTAGTTATGAAGACAATCAGCCAACCAATCAACCTAATACACAAGCATGCAAACCCAGTGAATAATCCTTTTTCCTTAAAACGCAAATGGATGACACTAGAAGAAACCATCCTGAGTGAGGTAACACAGTCACAAAAAGAGAAACATGGCATGTATTCTCTCATATATGGATTTTAGACATAGATCTGGGGAATGCCAGCCTACAATCCCATGGCCAGAGAGTCTGGGAAGCAGAACCTTCATTCAGTGGCTGATGGAAGCAGAGGCAGACTCCCACGGCTAAGCACTGAGCTGAACTCAGGAAATCCAGTGACAGAGAGAGAGGACTGATGACCAAAGGGATTAAGACTGGGATGGTTTAACCCCCCAGGAACAGCTGACCTGCAAAGGTTAACTCTTGAATTCCAGGCATCAGCCTGGGAATCCAGCATGGGACTGATCAAGTCCCCCTGAATGTGGGTGCCCGTGAGGAGGCCTAGGTAATCTATTGAGCCTTGGGCAGTAGATCAGTACTCAACCCGAGTATACACATGGACTTTGGACTCCCATCCAACAATGTGAGATGCACTCTCACCCTGAACTCTTGGGGGAGGGTCTAGGCCCTGCCCTGGTTGAAATGACAGATTATGGATACCCCCATGGAGAGCCTCACCCTCCCTGGGGAAATGAGAGGATAAAGGGGGGACTGGGGGGGAGGGCACGGGAGGAGGGGAGGGAAAGAGAGGGGGACCTGGATCTGACTTGTGAAGCAATCTTGTTTCTAATCTAAATTTAAACTTAAAAATAAAAAAACTAAAAACTAAAAAATGGAGGTGAAGTGCATTTCCTCCTTTATAAAAATATTGTTGGATACACCTGGTAGATGGCTCAGTGGGTAGAATGATTGGCCTACATAGTGAGGACCTATATTCAAATCTCTACTACCCACATTGATGCTGCCTGTAATTCTAGAACTTGGTAGTAGTTGGAGAAATGTGGATTCCTAGACTAACTTAATAGATTGGTTCTTGTTTGAACTGAAAATAGCATGGCAAGGGAGTCACAGTGGCTGGCATGACCAGAAGATGATAGATAGGAGCCAGGTCAACTGTCAAAAACAGTCTTGTGAAAAGTGTGACTCAAAGGGTTGATGCTGATATGCCAGCAGATCCAAGTACAGAAAACCACAGTTCTTTCTGCCATCTTGATTAAATGCCTTCCTCAACCACTGGTCTCATATCATTCTCTAGGCGACAGAAGTGTTTCATGCTGACGGCTGACTCAGTGGACCCTTCACTTTGCCACAGACCAGCTTACCACCCCCCATAAGACAAATGGAGGACAGGTAAGAAGCTTTTGAGACCCTTTCCCCAAAGTTGTTACCTATTATTTTTAGCCTGTGACCACACAACCACACCTTGAGATGGAGAGTCCAAAGAGTCTCAGGTTTTCCCGAAGACACAAGAGGTACAAAGTCATTCTTTAGCAGTGTGGACTGGCAGACTTGATTTTGGGAGATTAGAATGCTGTGTATCTAATCAGGGTCCACTTCTTGCAAGTTCTTCTCATTCTGCTCTCATCTCAACTGTTCAAATGTTCTGTTATTGTGAGAATTCTTTCACTCTCTTTGACTTAGGAAGCACATGGGTACAGGCAAACTCTCTAAAAGCACAGTTCTGTCAGTAACTCAGTCACCTATTTCCCACAGTGCACTCTCTATTCCTTTGTACTTCTGCATCAGTTTGAAAAAGATGGTCTAAAAATGAGTGGCTGAGAAAAAGTATAATTTATCAGTAATGTATATACTTAGGGAAAGTTACAAAATGTGTCAAACCCAACTCAAACTCAAAAACAGCACAAAGAGTGAAGAGAAGTGTCAACAGGAATAGCAATCTGAATGGAGAGCTATATGTTACTGTGGATAGAGGACAGTTGTGCTGCCCCGGACATACAAATAATTTCATTCTTTGTTTAATTTTGTTATTTGATCATTTGACTTCTGTATGAAATGTACTCTGATTACCCTCTCCTCTCTTACCTCCATCTCATCCCTTTCAACTTCTTCCTCCATCCCTACCAGACCCTTTCCTAGATTCATCACTTGTTTTGTTTGTAATATAACAACTGATAAGAGAAAAGTGCTTAATATTTCATACCAGAAAGAGTGTGCAGCTTGATTTGCAGTTCATTGCTCTCAGCATGGGGAATATATCTTTTCATGGTCTCCCAGTTTTAGAAATCTAACATTTCTTTTCTGACAGTTTTTATTTTGCAAATAAAGTGGCATATGCCCCTTCAGCCCTTAATATGAGCATTCTTTATGTGTCATCTACCCTTTATATTTCTCAATAAAGTTTGTTGTATATGGGTTCATTTCTTGTCATGTCCACTTGGAATATCTCCTCTGTTTCAAAATCCGTATTCTCCTGTATATCAAGGAAAACCCTGTTCTAGTTCCTAAAATTACTCTTCTGTCCTTTAGTCTGTGTTTGACTGCAGTATTCATAGTGTTAGGTCTTTATATTGAATCTCAGATTTCTTAAATTTTTTGTTTTTATGCTTGCATGCTTTCTCCCACAGTGCAGGCATTCGTGGATTCACTATGTACTTTAGACTTGCCTTGAACTCCAGGAGTTCTTCCTGCCATAGCCTTTAGACTGCTGGTATTCAATAAGTAAGCTAACATGGATGGTAGAACAGTTCCTATTACCCTCCTCCTAGAGGTCATTTCTGTCTTCAATCTCTGTAGATGTTTCTGTGTCATAATATCCTCCATTTAGAACAGTTTCCACTTCTTCCCTTATCTCTGTTTCCCCATATTAGATTTTTAACTCTTTAAGAATGTTAGAAATTCAATTCATTTCAGAATCCTATGCCTAATTCTTCAAAATCAGTGTTTTTCAACATTGACAATGCTGTGACTCTTTAATACAGTTCCTCATGAAATTATTTTAGTTGCTACTTAATAACTAAGTTTGCTACAGTTATGAAATGGAATGCAAATATCTGACATGCAGGATATATTTTCATTGTTACAAATTACCTGAAAGGGTCACAAACTTTATGTAAAGAACCACTGTTCTGTGTTCTTTTAGAGCCTGTCCTGGAACGTGCTCTGTAGACCTCCCAAGTGCTGGGATTAAAGTTGTGTGCCACCAACACTCAGCCATGTTCTGTGTTCTTATTGCAGCCAATAACTGGACATTCCCAGTTTGGAGAATGATAAAGGCCATTCTTAGCCATCTCTTCACTATATGCCATTCTCTCAAATACACTAGAATTTCCCAATGACAGCTTCATGAGCAGTGATATTTTCTTCATTTCCATACACTTTGTGGTATTAAATTCACTCTAAAATTCTGACAAAAACATTTGTTCTAAATTTGCATCTATGATTGGGTTTATGATTCATTAAATCATTTTTTTAGTGAAAAAAATCTCGTCTACTCACTGTGCTTTTATGGAAAGATGAATACTTGTGACGTAGCAACAGACATCAGAAAAGTGCTTAACATCCTCAAAGGCTTTTCCTGTCTTCTAGGCTCAAATCTAAAATGGAGACCCAGTCACATTAACCTGTAGGTCCGGTCCTGTTCATACAAGACTAAGCACGACTTGCTTTTCCCTTCATTACTCTCTTTCATGATTTTCATATATTCCCAGTTGATAGCCTCCCCTGCCAGGACTAAGAGCAGCTTGCAAGTTCCTGCACCAGACACAAACCATTCTAATGTCAGAAAAAAAGTTGGGTTCAGGCTTCTATTTCCTTCTGACACAGCCCAAAACACTGAGTGTCTGTATTAGGACTACCACTTACTCTTATATCGGTGAAGTACATGGGTTGTAGATAGCTGAAAGAAATACTAACTGGATTTAATTAAGGCTTCACATATTTTTGTTTTGATAAATTACTCAGCCTCTACAATCCTGTTTCTTCTCTATGTGAACCAGGTGATTCATACAGGGCAAGATGCACTGAGAATGAAAGATTATACTGTATGTGCTCATATCTTGTTTTTTCTTTCCAGCTACGTTATTGCAAATATAAGAGTAAATCCAAACACCCCAGAATGGGAGACTAACATCATAGCAGGAAATGGAAGAAACGACACTGAAACTTCATTTTGTAACATCATATCCCATACTATGATTTGGCTTTCCCTCATCATTGGGCTCATTGGACTGATTGGAAACGCCACAGTGCTGTGGTTTCTGGGCTTTCATATGCAGAGGAATGTCTTCTCTGTCTATATGCTCAACCTGGCTGGTGCTGACTTTCTCTTCATGTGTTTTCAAATTGCACGTTGTATTCATATAATCATGGACACTTTCTACTCCAATATCATCAGCACTCCTCTGTTTTATTTTGTTGTGCTAAATTTTGCTTATCTTTGTGGCCTGAGCATGGTTAGTGCCATCAGCATTGAACGCTGCCTCTCTGCCATATGGCCCATCTGGTATCGCTGCCAACGCCCCAGATACACATCAGCTGCCGTATGTACCCTGCTTTGGGTCTTATCCCTGTTGTTGAGCCTTCTGGAAGGGAAGGAGTGTGGTCTCATATTTGATACACTTGGCCCTGGTTGGTGTCAGTCATTTGATTTCATCACTGCTGCATGGTTAATTATTTTATTTTTAGTTCTCTTGGGGTCCAGTCTGACCTTAGTGCTTACTATCTTCTGTGGCTCACACAGGATTCCTGTGACCAAGCTATATATGACCATCATGTGTACAGTGCTGGTCTTCCTGCTCTTTGGTCTTCCCTATGGCATCTACTGGTTCCTCTTTTCATGGATTGAGGGTTTTGATAACCTTGTGTCTTGCTATTTTTATTCAATAACAATATTTCTGTCCTGTTTCAACAGCTGTGCCAATCCTATCACTTATTTCCTTGTTGGCTGTATTAGGCATCGTAGGTTCCGGAGGAGCACTCTAAAGCTACTCCTGCAGAGAGCCTTGCAGGACACCACTGAAGGAGAAGAATGTGGAGAGGGGGCTTCTTCAGGAAGACCTAGAGAAATGAAAACAGTTGGACAGCGACTCAGAGCTGCTTTGATCAGGCTGAAGTAGCTTTGAGAAATAACTTTGTCCTTATTCGTTTGTGGAAATTCTCATAACCTTGTTTGGTAAAAGCGGATCAATTCTGAACTTGTCATACAAATACAGACTGTAGCATTTCTGTAGCTGTCTCACTCAGAGCTTCATCATCTCCTTTTGGTGGGACTCATTGGACTTCTGGTGTTCATGGGAGCTGTTGACTGCTATGACAACTCACTCCTTCAGCAGAAGGGTTAAGAAAGTCCTGTAAAGAGCTCCATTTCTTTGGTTACTGAACATGATAGTGGTTAAAACCATGTGACATTTTGTAAATATTTCCTTTTTTAAAACAACCTTTCTCTTAAAGTATGAAGTGTTAAATAAATATATCTTATAATCCAAGTCTTTATTAAATTTTGTAAGTTTTAGAGAATATATGAAGGATTGTCTTTCTCATTTAAATTTCTAACTAAACAAATTACGTTCTCCAGAGAAGTGTGTGATAGTTTGTGTTCTGACAAATAAAGCTTGCTTGGAGTCAAAAGGTAGAGCTAGTCAATAGCAGGTCAAAATTAACCATAGAAGTTTGGAGGGCTGTAGACAGAGAGGGGCCAGTAAGGTAGAGCTGAGAGTAGATCTTGGGTCTTTAGGTGGAAGGACAGAACAGGTCAGAGGCAACTGGTGATTATTGTCTGCTTCTCTGGTGCTTCAGGTTCTTACCCCAGTATTTGACTCCCAAATTTTACTAATAAATATGAATTAGATTAATGTTTCATCTGGTGTCCAACTTTTGGGGTCTGAATTCACGAGACAGTCACTTGCCTGTTGCTTTGCATACACTGGAACCCACCAGAGACGCATGCAGGATCTGCACCTACTGGAGTCACTGTGCTACCAGCTGGCTTTTCCTTCTCTGCCCCAAGCACTCTGGGGAGTGTTGGATTTTTCTGTTTCAGCCTCTCTACAGCAGTCTCCACAAGGCCCCAAACTCCGCAGAAGCCTGGGTTCCAAACGCTGCAAGTATTAGCCCCCACACCAGCCAGCTCTACCATCAGGCAGGTCCATGCTCTCATTTTCTGCCCTTTATACGTGCTGCTTTTGCACATTCCCCTGTGTCTACGTTTCAGATGACTGGCTCTTTGGTTCCTTTTTCCTGAAGACTGTGGGCTTCTCCTAGACCCCCTCTTCATGCTGATCTAACACTAAGGTAGCCGCCTCAACACCTGCCTAGTTAGATAACTGCCGCATACTCTAAATTCACAACTATCCATGATACATGGCAGCTGGCCTCATCCTGGCTGTGCACTGCCTATGCTCTCCTCATAGGTGTGCTGTCCAGCAACAGCTAGTCTTACACTTCACTGTCACCATCAGAAAATTTGGTGAGATAAGTTCGAATTCCTAAAGGGGATCTTAGTTAAAAAAGAAATAAGAGAACTTTTCCCATGTTAAAAATAGGAAAAAATATTATAATGGAGGGAGTTGGGTCTCTGTATGTTTGAAAAATGGAACAATTAAATGAGTGGATAATTAACTTATTTGGTATTTACAGAATGTCAATTATAATCATTATCACTTTCTAATTCTTGTTTTATCCCTAAAAAGTTGGTTGATATCAGTGCCAAGTATGCGAAATTGATAAGATACAGTCCTTAGGAAAGCTTACTAAAAAAACAATGCAATTCTGACTAATAAAAGACTTAGAAAAACTTATTAAAACAGGAAATAGAGATATTCATACACACAGAGCAGATTAAAGGAAAACCAACCTCACCATTACATTATGAAATTGGAGAAGAACAAAGATCATTAAAAAACCAATCTTAATGTATCCAGTCACCATACAAGGACAACTGCCAAATGACAGATATCCCCAAAGCTATGGAAGAGGTCACTGGATTCCTTTGAAAATGATAGATTTTGTCTCATTCTGCCTTCTCTGGGGTACCATGTATATCTCTCTTAGGGTCCTTCCTGTTCCCCTGACTCTTTGGCAGTGGGATTTCAGACTGGAACTCTCCTGATTTATGTCTAAAAATCATATATGAGTGAGTACATACCATGTTTGTCTTTTGTGACTGGATTACCTCACTCAGGATAATTTCTTCTAGTGCCATTCATTTGCCTGCAAATTTCAAGATTCTGTTGTTTTTTTCCACTGAGTAGTACTCCCTTGTGTAAATGTACCACATTTTCTCTAGAAGAGGCAGACACCCACAGATAAACACTGAACTGAACTCCTGGAACCCAGTGACAGATAGGGAGGAGTGATGAGCAAAGGGGTTAAGACTGGGCTGGTGAAACCCAGGGAAACAGCTGACCTGAACAAGGGGGAGATCTTGGACCCCAGACTTATGGCTGAGAGGCCAGCATAGGACTGATCCAGACCCCCTGAATGTGGGTGTCAGTAGAGACCTAGGCAATCTATGGAGCTTTGTGTAGTAGATCAGTATTAATCCATGCCACACAAATGGACTTTGGGTGCCTATCCCACAATTAGGGATGCACTCTCAATCTGGACACTTGGGGGAGGGTCTGGACCCTCCCTGGAATGAAATGACAGACTCTAGAGATTCCCATGGAGGGCCTTACTATGGAGTGCGGATTGGGTGGGGTGTTGGGGGGGCTGGTAGGGAGGAGTGGGCATGGAGGGGAGACAGAGAGAACTGGGACTGATATGGGAAGCAAGCTTGTTTCTAATTTAAATATATAATGAAAAAGTGTTAAAAAAGAAAATGGTAGATTTTACGAGATTTAAGGAAGTGATAGTCTCACATGGTATGCATTCAACTTTTGTGAGGCAGATGTTAAATTCATGGGCAACTAGTAACAGAATTATCTCACAATTATGGTGGAAGTCCTGGTGGAAAGATGAGGCAGGGGCTATTGAACAATAAAGTAGGCTAGAGGTATTGAAACTGTCCAAGACCAGCTTCTGGGATAAATCAATTATGCTGATGTATGAAGATACTCTATTTATGATGAACACATCTTGGCTCTATGGAATAGAGCACCTTTGACTACTTGTTACAGAGTTGAAGATGTTGGAAAGAGAACTGAGTCATTTATGGAAGTTATACAGGACCCAAAAGAAATCTTCATTTTTTTTTTACAAAGATTGACTCCAGCTATAAATAGAATGATACCAGATACAGAAGCTAGACAAATACTAATAGAATCTTTGGTTTTTGAAAATGCTAAATAACAATGCAAAGGGTAATTTGTCCTTAAAGGGAAGTTCATCACCTATAGGATAATGGATCTGGGATACAATCAATGTTGAATCTCTTAACCAAGATGATACTTGGATAGGAAAGATGATTTACAAAGGCTTGAGGAAAAATCAAGATGTCAGATGTTTTAATTATGGTAAACAAGGTCACCTAAAAGGGATTGTACATAGGACTTTCCTAGAAACAATGTTTTCTAGGAATAATAAAAATAGAAAGCCCTAGCCTTCTACAGTATGCAAAAGGTGAAGCTAAAACTGACAATGTACCAACAAATGCAAATAAACAAGGACAGACACGGTAACACTTTGCCACTGGGAAACATTTTGGGGACCTCCCCATGTCAAATCTTGTTCAGTCATTCCCTGTCACCATGGAGAAAACTCCTCCACATAGTAATTAAAAGTACTAATGCCTATTGTAAAAACTTACTGCTCTGGGGGATAGAACAGCTTTAGAAGATAATGCACAAATTTCAGGAGAAACATTAAAGCAAATATTTTGGCAACCTTCTATAGCAGTCAAAGACCAGTGTTAAAAATATGAATAAATTACATTGTAATTAAAAGTTTGGTATATACAGGAGAAGTTGTAAGAATAATTTCACTAAATCTAGGCATCCAAACTAGCCTCTTCAGGAGCCAAATGCTCAGATTTTAGGGATTGGAACTTTATCTCAGGTAAAAGAAAGTGTAAGATGGGTTGAATATAAAGGGCCAGGAGGACAGAGAGGAAAGATAAAGCCATATCTGGCTAACATAGCCATAAATTTTTTGGGATGTGATTTGTTACAGCAATGGAATACCAAGGTTAAACATTCATCCAATCTCAGAAACACACCACAACCTAGTATTTGTTTCTGGAGAAAATATTAAAAGGTATTACAGAACCTAAAACGTAAAAAGAACAGTCACTGACCATTCAGATGTACATAAACAGGGCACAGCATCTGCTGATCTTTCAAATGTACCAACAGACCTATCTTTAAAATGGTTAACTGACATACCTGTCCAGGTGGGTTAATGACCTTTGACATCAGAAAAATTACAGACCTTGGAACAGTTGATACAGGAGCAGGTAAATGCTAATATACTAAAGAACCTAGTAGTCCTTGGAATTCTTCTATATTTGTCATTGAAAAGAAATATGGAAAATGGTGCATGGTATCAGATCTAAGAGGTATTAATAAGGTGATTCAACTAATGAACTCTTTACGTCTTGAATTCACTTGACTTCTTTATTACCTAAAATATGATCTATTTTCACTATGCCTTTGCAAAAACAGGATAGAGGAAAATTTTCCTCCATAGTGCCTATTTATCATAGTTATTAGCCTGTTGAAAAGATATCAGTGGAAGATTCTTCCAAAAGGAATGATAAATAGTCCCACCCTGTGCCAATATTTTGTACAACAGTCATTGGAAATAATTCATAAAATAGGTTTCTTCAATATATAATTTACCATCATTTGTATGATATATTACTAGTTGATTCAAACATAGATACCTTACAGAAAATGTTTGAAGAAGTAAAGAAAATTTTGTCTTGTTGAGTATTATAAGTTGCTTCTGAAAAAATACAAAGAGAAGATTTTATTAATTACCTAGGATATAAGTTTACAAAAAAATTAACAACAGAAATCAGGGCCCATTTCTGACCACCTGCCTGGGCCTGGGCTCTGCCACTGAGGCTTCCTCCCCAGCAGAGGTTGCAGGAGCCAAGGTACTATAGTTTCCTGCTCCACCCATGGAACCAGGACTAGACTGGCTGCCAGTGCCTGAGGTCTACCGCTGGGTCTTCCATTCCAATGGAAGAAGCCAACACTCCCTAGTCTCCTGCCCCACCTATGGGTCCAGGTAAACCAGGGCCCATTTCCGGACCCCCTGCTTGGGCCTGGCCTCTGCCACTGAGGCTTCCATCCCTCAGAGGTGGCAGGAGTCCAGGTACCATAGTTTCCTACTTCACCCACGGAACTAGGACTAGACCAGCTGCTGGTGCTCTGGGACTGCCATAGCAGTTTCCATCCCAGAGGCAGGAGAAAACTTACCCTAGCATCCTAGTCTCATGTTCCACCCACATGACAGAGACTATCAGGGCTTGTCTCCAGACCACACTCCTGTGCCTGGGGTATATCACTGGGGCTCCCATCCATCCCAGTGGGATCCAAAGCAC